TGTGTGAATTAGATCTTTTTTTATTTTGTTGTACATTTTTGTATCACTTTGAATCGATTAAGAAAGGAAGAAAATTGGAATGAAATAATGTCCTATTGCAAACTCATTCATATGCTTGATTGAGTCTTTTTTTGTTTTATTTTCTTTATTTTAAAGAGAATTTGCTAGCGAATGTGTGTATTTTATGAGAATATATGAGAAGAGCTTCGAAAATTTCGGGAGGGATTTGAAAGAACGAAAGCTTTGTAGTGTTTGGCCGTTCGAGCTGGACTCTATTTGTTAATTTCGAAAAGGATGGTAAAAGCGCCGAATGATTCTTTGGGAGAGGACGAAACAACCGAGAACCGACTTTAGGCGGTTAAATTTGCCACGGTAATTTCGCTTGCTTCTAGGTTGTCCCTTTTACATGTGTTCCTCTATTTCGTTACGGAAAATTTCTCTTGTTCTATTTTAAACTTGAGACTGAGGTGGTTATTTTTATAATAGCCTTATATATCTTTAAGAATTATCGCAGTTTAATTTCGATCGTTAAGGAAAAAAATCTTGGCTAAACGACAATATTTTAAAAATTTTTTTTATAATTGTTTTTTTATTTATTCAAATATTTGTTGTATGAATAACAAACATTTTGAAAATTATGGAATTATTTTATTAAAAACCACTTTATATTGTTGTTGTTATTGGAATAACAACGATAAATTTTAAAATAAATTAATTGATTAATAAAACAAGATATTGTTCTTATATGTACATGCACATAAACACATTACATATATTCATATTTTTTTTACATAATGCTAAAAATAACACACGACACAGTTAAATTTCCCATATCACACGCCTGACATTCATTACTGTTGATTTTTTTTTGTATAACTGGTTTTGATTCGGTGGTATAGGTACGTTGAATAAATTGTTGTGACTCATAGGGAAGTTAATTTTTTTTTTTTTTTAAATTTCTGAATTGAATAGGTGAATTTATAAAATTCAAATTATTATTTTTTTTTTTAATATTTTTTTTTTTCATAAATAACTCAAAAATAATTTCAATAGTGTCAAAAATATTTTCAAAATTCGCATTATTGTTATTTAACGTAATCGACTCAAAAAAAATATATTAATGTTAATGGGTGAGTTTTTAAGTATTTGGTTTTTAAATTTAAATAAGAAAATTACAAAAAAAATGATGTGACCAGTACATAACCGACCGCAATGTCTAGTTAAGTGAAAGTGTTACAGAAGATTATACAAATGCCTTTAAAACATTTCTTTCCAATTTTAGGGGGTTAGTAAGCTTTTAGTTAACATACCTAAAAAAATGTAAATTTGGCTATTAGTAGAGATTCGAATTCATGAAAATTGATTCAGCCGAACTTGAGATACACGTGTGCATACACAGGCAGACAGACTGACCGACAAAACTGACACATCTTTTAAAATAGTTTATTCACGCTTCCCTACTATGAAGAATTGCGTTCCAACTCGATATGTAAAACTCGATATGTAAAATTTGTTGCCATTACATAACCTCTCTTATTGTATGCAATGCGGTCGGTAAAAGTTGAACATTTGCATGTTAATTTCTTATGTGAATTGATTTACTTTTTAAATAATAGTTTCTTTAAAATGTTTGCCGTATGATTGGTTCTAAACTATTGGTCATTATCTTAAGCTAAGTAAATTCATTTTATAATAAAATGGTGTTAAAAATGACTCCTTTTGTTTTTAATTGGCAGCACTAAGAAATTCAACCGTTTAAAGTATTAGAAAAAAAAAATAAACCTAGCTGATGAAAAATCACCCATTAGTATGTATGTATATATCTCAAAAAATATATTTGTATGTATGTATGTCTTTTGAATTTTCAACTTGTGTATGATTGATTTTTTAGGATTAAATTCATGTAATAGACATCGTATCTGATATTTATCAATATATTTAGACAATAAATCTGATTTACTATGTAATTTTAATTTAAAAGAGAAAAACCTACACTAAAAAATAGAGAAAACATAAATTTTATAAACACAATTCACGTCAGTCCCATACATTTATGATAATTGCTTAAAGCAGTTTAACCTTTGTAATTGTACTTTTTTACACAGTTTAAATTCATTAAGCATTAAAGTAGATGAATTGGAAAACACTCGAAATTATTAAAAATATATGAGTGCTAATGTACGAATGTATGTAAATTTTTTTATTAAAAATTTCCGAAACATTTGTTAGATGAAAGTTTAAAGTTTAGTTTTTTTTTTACCGTCCGCATATTGCTCACAATTATAAGGATGATGTCATCAAATTTCACATGTCGAGTTTTCGGAGGAAATGTATTTTTCATTATATTATATATTTTAGCATATCTAAGAAGTTCATTGACGGGATTTCTTTTAAATTTAATATTTGAATTTTGTTTAGTACTGAAAGTAATTGACGAATTTTTTAGGGAATTCAAGTCTAGAAATATCCAAAATTACATTTTACGTTGTACAACATTTTTGCCAAATATACTTTGCAGTTGGTTGTGTGCCGTTCACATCACATTTTTTTAAATATGACTATAATTTGCAGAAGTCATTTTTTTTAAAATAACTTCTAATTTGCAGAAATGAAATTCAATATTTTTTTGCAAAATTATATTGTATATTTTGTTAATACAGCAAAATATACAGCGAAAACTTTTGTTAATATTATTTTCTTAATAAATTTAATAAATTCTAAAATGTTACAATATGATGGGATCAATTTAATTTAAAATTTATTTTGAGAAAAATTTTACATTTATATGTTAATGAAATATAATTTAATACGAAATAACACAATATTGTAACCTGCCGAGCGAAAACAATAGAAATTTTCGGCGAGTTTTTTTTTTCTACTTTTAAATGATTTTTGCATAATTTGGCAATAATTGTTGTTGTTTTGCATAAAAGTAATATTATTTTTGTAACTCTTGTCATAACCCTTTTCACAAATTTTGTCTACTATTTTACATAAACTTTTTTTTCGATACTCGCGCAGAGTAGACATTACAAAAAAAAAAAGGAACGCTTCTTCACCTTTTAATTTTTAATTAAAAAAAAAAAGGTTGAGGAAAATTTTTTCCACTTTTTTTTTTTTAATAATTACGAAAAATTTCTTTTGTAAATATAAGTGTAGTATATGGTAGTATTCATAAAGTTCCTCTCTCTATAATATAGAGATAAACAAAAGAAACGGAATAAGAGTTGAGGGAATAAAGAAAATGAAGTTTTTTTTTTGTTGTTTTCGCTTACTTATAATAACGTTCTTTATGATGTTTTTGTTTTCAGATATTAAACAAAGCCTATATAAACTTATTTTTTTTATATATTCGTGTTCAGGCTTATTTCTTTGTACATTAAGAACTCTTTGTTTATATAATAATAAAATAATTTGAAATTTTGATTTGATTCTGTCAAATTGATTTTCCACCCTCTATTTAATGGCGTAGATTGCAGTTGAAGTAAGAACGTTTTTAACAATTATTAAAAATCAAAGTAATTGTGTTATGTATGTATACTGTATTTAAAATTCAATTTAAAACAATAATTATTTTAAATTATTTAATATTATTTTAATTATTTCATTTTCAATTACTTTATATTTTTATGCTTGTTATCATGGCTCTCATATACGCATTCATTAATAAATGTGTTTATAATTATATAATATATATATATGAAATATACATACAAAATGTGCATATTATATGATATACGATTTGATTAGTTTAATTATTTTAAATAAAGTCTGAATAATATTCTTTTGTTTATTTTAAGTACTTGTATTACACTATGGAATTCAAAAATTTTATGAAGAATTGAAAAAAGGTTTAAAATATAAATGTTGGCTGATATGACATAAGATTTTGTATATATACTTATATACGATAAGCAAAAATAGAGAATTGTAAGCGGCAGCCCTTCCAATTTAAAACACTTCAATTAAATGTTTATGGAATTAGAGAAAAAAATAGGAAATACTGTCGCTCTTGTCAGATTTTGTGCGAATTTCATATTTACAAATTCGGATTGTAACTATGAAGATCAATTTATTTAATTTATTTTTAGTATATAATAACATTGTATAATAAATTTAATAAAAAACACAATGTACTTAAATTTAAGCAACACTAAATCTAAAGATTAATAAATTTCTTGTAAGCAAAGTATTTTAAGAATTTGCTATAAAAATACTATAAAGAATAAATCGTCATCATCGCCAAAAAGTTTTTACAAGTATTGAATTTTACAAATTCAATAATGAGTTAAATTTTTTGTCATATATAAAGTATACATTCATTCCCAACTTCGAATTTGTGAATATAAGACAATTTTTCAATTTTCGGACCCAGATCTCAATTAGTAATAGAAAAAACTTAGACCATTGGCTCTAAATTTGTATGTATCTAAGTAATTTTACAATTTTTCAAATTTCGAACTAGATTCTAATTACAAAAATGGAAAAATCTTAAAATTTCAGCTTTTGATCGTTAATTCCGAATTTAATTCCGAAACTTTAGTTTTCATTGAGCTATTATATATTTTTTTAATTTTTTTTGCAAATAAATATTTATGCATTTATATATAATAAAATAAATATAAGTTCCGTAATACTCATTGCAAAATTCTTCGTATAAAGAGCCGTAAGGTACAAACACATGCACAATTTTTCATATTTGTATAGGTAAATAAAAAAAAAACAGAACAATTTATGATTTGTTTTCGTTCTTTTTTTTTTGTTTTTGCCTTTATTTAACTAAACCATTAACAGATTTTTCTATTTACCCTAGTGAAGTTGTTAATATGAAGATGCTAATAACACCTTCAATGTCAGCTGAATTGAAGACAAAGAAATAATATGACTCGATTGGAATTTATATGAATTTATAGACTAATAAAAAGCAATTTTAAATATTAAAATAGTATATATATATATATATATATATATAACAAATATATATAGACATAAATACTTACATCACTGAATGTTTCATTTACGAAACGGTGTATTAAAGCTGTTTTTCCACATTTTGCTGGCCCAACTAAAACTACTTTTAATTCTTTAAATAATCCAGGACGTTCTAATGAATCTGTCATTTCTCTTTTAGACATCTTGTTCTAAATATTTTTTTGTTGTGTCTTTTTCTTGCTTTTATTCCTTTGTTTTGTTTTTAATAAGCACTCGTTATAATATAGGTAGTTGTATATATATGGAAATGATTTCCTTAGAAAAAGGCTTAACAAATTTTATTAATTCCAAAGATTAAATGAAACTGTATAAGGTGAAATATTTTTGTGATTAAAATGCATGACGATTGCTATTTGAATTAAAAACAAATTTTTTCTTTAATTATTCATCTATTTTTTCCCTTTATATTTTGTTTTTTTTTTTGTTTTGGATTTCTTTATTTAGAATGTATTAGTTTCCTTTGTAAATTATTATGAACTAAAAAATCATCATCACCTGTGAAATAAAAAAAAAAGAACATATGCGTATATATAAGTATATAATGTAGAATATATAATAAGTTTATATAAAGTATATATAATTTATGTAATAGTTTAAAATGTTAAAATTACTGAATTATTCAATTTTAATGAGTACAATATGAAAAAGAATTTGTGTCGTACAGTTTCAATAGTCTGAACTGTTTCTTTTTCTTTAATTTGAATATTAAAATCAGTCAAATTTTTTGCGTTCATATTTACATACAATACGAGTATATATATTATGCATAAGTGTAAATAGGTTAACTAAATAATGTTATATAGACAAAAATCCATTTTTTAAGATTTAAAGAACAAGGCACAACAATAATGAGCAAAAAGAAAATCAAATCAATAGCTTATAAAATAACCCTACATTTTTGCATACTTATAGGAGAAAAATAATTAATTTTTCAATTTAAAATCGATCGATCTTATTTTGTTAGAGTTTAATAATACTCATAAAAAGTTTTAAGAGGAATATTTTCAAAAATTAATATTTAAGGTAGCAGCAGTTAGAAAAAACAAACGAGTTATACAAAGAAAATTTTCATTATTTCATATAAATTGTTAAAAACTCGAAGATTTTTTGATCTGCCATGTGTATATTATAAAAATTACATAAAAATTACAAGAAAAAAACTTATTTCAGATTACAATTAATTTGAAAGAATTGTATAATAAATTAAGAACCAATTTGTAGTTTGACGACAATAAGTTGACTATAAATACGGTTGAAATTTTAAGATTTTTTTTGACCTGAACGAAATGGAGACGAGGTGAATATTTTCATTGAAGTTTCATATTATTTGATATTTTAATGTTATAATTGATTTTAAGTACGAAATGTCTGCAATAAATTATAACCAAAACTTAAAAAATACTTTCACTTTTACATACAGATTTGATATTTTATGACATTTAAAAGATTTCAGAGTTTATATATGTATGTATGCATGTGTCTATGAAAGAAAAAGAAATCTATTATTTTTTTTTTTTTTCAATTTTATAATTTTTGTTTCTTTTTAATTTTCCAAGCTACCTTTTATTCATTAGTTTTATTGATTTTTGTCATGCAAAAAACTGTTAATGCGAAAAATTACTAATTTCATAGATAAATCAATTTATATATTTGTAAATTGTACTCGTATATTATGTATGTGTTTAGTTATGTATGTCAATTCACAAGACAGTAGCTAAGACTATTATTATGTGTACAAGATATCGGCGGTCGGACACGAAAATTTTCAAAAAGAGTTTTTTACTACGATTGTTACTATGATCAAATGAATTAAGAAAATGAAAATAATAGTCGATTTGGTATTAAAGGCCGTGGTGTAGTTGTAAAAGAGAAAAATTAAATTTTTTTCTTGGTTTTTTTTTTGTTAATAATTACTTACACTTTCTTTTATTATCAAACAAAACTTTTTTTATTATCTTCAATTTTTTTTTGTCTGTTATTATTTTTTATGTTTTAGAGCATAATTTTTATATGCTTTAGCATTGAACGAATTGTTCAATGTTTTTTTTTTGTTGTTGCCATTTTTATTTTTTTTTTTATTTTAATTTTTCTTTCCTTTTAATTTTTTTCAAAGTCAAATAAAATCTTGAAGAAAATCCGTGGGAAGTTATGCAGATTAATTAAAAATAAAATTATTTTTTTTTATATATTTTTTTTTTTTTGTATCGATAAAAATATTGAAATTTGCACTAGAGTTGTAATTTGTAATTAAGTATAAAAAAAAAATTGGGTTTCAATAAAATGGAATAAGTATATTTGTACAAATAATCATGTTTGTGCGTGTGTGTATGATTTTAATTGGTTTTTGCTTCAATAATTATTTATTAAGATTCAATTTTGTATATTTTTTATAATGATAATTATTATTTTCAATTATTTATGCATATACACACACATGTACAGTTCTTATACAATAGTTATGTATATATATATTTTTGCAGTTTGTGTATAGAGCAAAATTTATAGAGGAATAGTATAATTATAGTATTAGAATGCGTAGTTTAATTATTGCAAAATTTATCTTGCAGGTTAAATTATTTTCAAATGCAATAAAGCAACCATTTGTTTATACTTATATATGTATACTTTTTGAAGATTTCCTGATTTAATTAATTTAGATTTAAGTTACAAACATAATCTAGGATACTATGATGCATTTGCAAAATTTTTTCTATATAATTGCGTGGAGTGAAACACAATAAATGATCAAAATGCAAAGCATAGTATTTTAACATTTGACAGTGATTAGAAAGTCAAAGTTTTGTATAGTAAAACAACGACTTAAATCTGCTGTTAAGTTGCATGTTTTGAACTAAGTCAATAGATTTAAAATTAGAAATTAAAGCAATTTTGAAGTATTGCTTTCAACTTGTGTATTTCGTGAATCCTCACTTAATTCTATTCAAGCGTAATTTTTTTTTGGAGCTGCCAAATTTTGAAGGTCATTTTTGCATTCTGATTGTGTTTATAGCCTTAATACAAAATTATATAGAATTTGACGTTTCATATTTGCTAAAACATATTACTTACATGGCAAGAAAACCAAAAGTAAGCTTCGAATAATATTCGTTTCTAATAGGTGATAGATTTATATAAATGTAAGTATTCCTGATTTATTAGTTTAAACCAGTGTTTTCAAGTCGCTCTTAGAATTGTCAAGTCGATTGTTTAGAGTTCATATCTTTAACTTTGACAGCTTGCTACAGTATATATATAGATCTTATGCAAATGACTTAAAGTGAGTCTAGTGTTATAGTTTTCTACGCTCTACCTAAATAAAAGAAAATACTTTACATGAACCGGAATTTGCTTTAGACTGTTTTAGAATTGTTTTTCATGAGTTTCGCCTTCAATAACAAAATAATTCATAACAAATTTTGTAATCTGAACTTTTTATTATCTTCTTTATAACTTTAAAATATATTATTTATGTAATATATACATATAACTGCAATTATAATATATATTTATTATTCGGATGTAAATAAAGTACTGGCGATTCAATTCGTTACCAAAGCCTACAGGCTACAAGCATAAAACACGTTATATTCATGGAAATTTTTTATATCTAAGACATTTCTTTTTTTTTAAGATTTTACTTATTTTTTTAACATATTTCCGCTTGATATGATCTGAATTTTAATTATTATAATATTATATTGCCACTTCATTGTGATAAAGCTATAATTTATGCTTTAATGGGCTTACAATGTAATTTAAAGATTATATAGTATACTTATGTATAAAATATAATACATTATATAGCACGGTTCTAGCTTAACAAGATTTCTCTTTACATATGTATTTAAAATTCATTAAAAAAGTTTTGGTTTATAAATTTTATAACAAATTAATATCAAATAAAGATTTTATTTAAAATTTGGATTAATAAATGAGAAATTGTCATTGGAAAGAAAATAAACAAATATTAAATCAGACCTCCTCAACAGCGTGCACAATGTTGTAAATCAGTTGGAAACCAAAATTTTATAAAAGTCGACAATTGTTTTCTAATAGCGTTTCAGTCGCCGCCCAACCAACATCTTAATTTGTACGGGACTTATGTTTCACCTTGTCGTCTTTGTATACATGTGGAGATTGGCGTGCAATTGCATGAAAGGTAATGAATGATTACATCCAAAGAATATTGAGTTCTGTTATTTAAAAAATCTTCTCACTTTCTAATGAACTGTGTATAAGCTTTGCGTACAAATTAACGATTTCGTGCTTATGAAACACAAAACTCAATTTTTGTTAATAATTCAAATAACGTTATTAACAGTTTTATCAATTTAGGATTAAAAGTGAAATGAAATTAAAAAAAAAGCAGACTGCTTATTAATTTCATATTTTCCACTACTCGGTTTAAAATTTTGTTTTTCAAGTAAAAACTTGTAGAATTTGTGATCATAGAGAGTCTGCAAATTACGATTTACTTTTCTTTCTTATGTCAATTACGTCAATATTATTGAATTATTTTTTCTATTGTTAAAATTTCGCAAATAGTAAAAAGTATACAGATTTCGCGTCGCGTAGAAAACTACTTAGTAATTGTAATAATCAAAAGAAAAAAAAACGAGAAAAACAAAAGAATTATTAAACTTTCACTCAAAAAAGATTAAAATTAAATTACTATATTTTTCTTTCTTTTTTATTAAAAATGAAAACTATAATAACTTTCGATTGTTACATTGTTTTTTTTTTTCACGTGTTGCACATGAATGTTGATTTGTAAATTTTGAGTATAGCACAGAAAATTCTGTTGTTAACACGTGCCAGGAATGCAAATTGAAAGTATTATTCACTCTTTATTGTCATTGACATTGAAGTGTCAGGGATTTTAATGGAACGATAGTGATGGTTGCATTTTTTACAATGAAAAATTTATAAAAAACCAAATTTTATATTTAATATTCTTTGTTACAGGAATAATACAATAAAAGTAAGGCTTAACTGTCTGTATTAATATTCGATTTTACAATCATTATTAAATATGTCTAGAATTTTAGTTTTAATCTTGCTAATTGTGATAAAAAAATTTTATTACAATAATGATTGTTAAAGAAAATTGTTCGGGACTATTATGTCAGTTTGACACTCCAAATATATTATTACTATGCCTTCCAGAAATAAATGCTTAAGTTCATTAGTAGTGTTGCATGTTCTTGCCAATAGTTTAGGTAATTTAATAAAAAAATACTTCAAACTGGCAGCACTATTCTATAAATAACCCTTAAAGAAAATTCTTTTAAATTCGTGGGAACTTTTTTCAAATTGAAATTATTATAATTATTTCTCTAACTAATTAATATCTTCACTCTAAAAAAATTATTAAATTATTATGTAAATAAATGAAAAATAAAATAAAATTTTAATTCTAAGAGCTTACAATCGTGTCGAAAGTATTTTTAACCTTTTATATGAATAATAAAACCTTTATACATTTAGGAAACATG